GCGCGGGCCCCTGCCCAGCAACGGGGTGATGCACGTGGACGAGTGCGTGGAGTTCCACCGCCTCTGGAGCGCCATGCAGTTCGTGTACTGCATCCCCGTGGGGACGCACGAGTTCACCGTGGAGTACGTACCGCCCGCCGCCCTGCGCCCGCGGGGCTTGGCCTGTCCTCCCTGGCACTCTCGGGGCTCTCCAGTGGGGGGCCTGTTTGCCTCTCTGCACGGGCTTAGTGCCAGAACAAGGGAAAAGTGCTGCCATCGCTGGCAGGGGCTCCTAACCCATGGACACAGATATTAGTGTATCATCTTTAACAAAAATCCCTCTGTTTTAGCTGTTGCCACTGTATGACTGATCCCATGAGAAACAGACCCTAGTACACGTCTTTCAATGGTGGTCAGACCTCTACAGAAGCTTAACTTAAAATAGCTGAACAGTGGTGCATGTAGCAAGTATTGTCTTCTCTGAATTAAGAGTGAGAATGAGCACCTGGAAGCTAACAGGATTAACAGGAGTTAACCAGGAACTCTAGTTCTTGGCGTTGTTAATTTTCATAATGTCCTTATTTCAAAGAACTGTTGAGCTGTAACGTGGTTTTCCATGAAGAGTTACAGAGGCAGCAGCATAAGGCATTTCATCCTTTGATGCCTGCAGCCCAAAGGAGCAGAATGTTGTTGAATTCCCACTTTTTCTTTGAAAGTGTTCTTTCCTTTGAAAATGGAAAAACAATGTCACTGGAGTCTAGTGGGTAGTAAATCTCTTTGGAGTAACTCTACATTGTGTAAAGTTGGGGTGTGTGTGTGTGTGTTTCCCTTTTCTTGTTAAGGACCCATCTGCATTGCTTGTGGTATCTGGAAAGAGAATTTACTAGAGATTTTGCAGTATTTTGTAGACTAATATCTCTATATTGGTTGTTTAGTATAGTGTTCTACCGCTGAGCGCGTCCTGTGGCTGTGTTTCGGAAGGTTCAGGTGAAAGGTGCCTTATGTGGTGTGTTTCCTCCCCCAGGCAGTGCTTTGGGGACGGCTTGCACTGGGCTGGCTGTATGATCATCGTGCTTTTGGGACAGCAGCGTCGCTTTGACGTGTTGGATTTCTGCTACCACCTCTTGAAAGTCCAAAAGCATGACGGCAAAGATGAGGTTATAAAGAACGTGGTGAGTTGAAAACACCTGCTCTCTGTCCTCTGTAGGAGTAAGGCCAACAATAAACCAGAGCTGTTTGTACTCGGAAGCAGCGTAGATGTAACAGCAGCTTTTTAGGCTGAAATGCCAAAAGTGAGGGCACCAGGGGGGTTAGGAACAAAAGACTAAGGTGTTAGTACTGGAGTTTCAAGACTGGTCAGTGAGAATTCAGATTTCCTGAACAGGTGGAATTTTCTTAGTGCTTTCCATTTCAGATATGTGCATTCACATTATGACAAGGCTGTTGTAAGTTGCCCTTTTTTGTACAAACGCCAGCACTGTTGTAAACCAAAACGTGCCTTGGATTTTTGCTGGATTATCAATGTAAGGGAGGCATCCAGAACACTGCTGGGAGAGGCGAGGTAACGGCATTTGCTGCTCTTGCGTCTATGACTTTTTCTTCCCAAAGCTAATTCCAGTGTGTCTGTGTTTTTTTGGTGTTTGCAGCCTTTGAAGAAAATGGTGGAAAGAATTCGCAAGTTCCAGATTCTGAATGATGAAATAATTGCTATCCTGGACAAGTATTTGAAGTCGGGCGATGGAGAGAGCACACCCGTGGAACACGTGCGCTGCTTCCAGCCGCCGATCCATCAGTCCCTTGCCAGCAACTAGACTCCCCACCTAACGACACTTTTTGCACCTATTTAGGCTAAAAGTATGAGGAAAAAAAAAAACAAACAAAAATCTCACCAACAGTTTTAAGGAATACTGTCATCTGCATTTTTCAGTATCCCTGTGCCATGGGAATGCTGCACTGTCCTCTTCAGTCTCCAAGCACAGTAACTGTATACAACCCATACTTATTTTTCTAGACTAAAATTTTATACACTTTGATTAAAAACCTGTGACTGTAAAAGATTTTTGAAATCTCTTTGCATTCCTGTACTGAGGTGGCCATTTTAGACTGGACTGCTGTAATTTTCCCCCAAAGGTATCAAAATAATAGCTGTGAAGGATAAGAAACTGAGTTCTGTAGAAAAAAAAAAATTTAGAAATCAATTCCTAATTGTGTGCATTAAAGCATTAATTGCTTAATTAGCCTTTATTAAAAAAATACCACCCAACAAACTGCTGATGCTTTGTCAATAATTTTTCTAGTCAGTTGATGATTTTTCCTCTTTGCAAAACTATTCTCTGAGATCAGCAATTAGGGAAATGAAGGCTAATTAAGGTGTTTGTTTCAAATTTATTTAACATGAAGGTGACCGACAGCATTCTGATCTTTTTAGAAGGCAGTAGTTTGATGGGTTAGAATGGGGACTGTTTACTTTTTCCTAACGAGAGCTTCTAACACAACTTGTGCTTTGGCTGGCAACCTGTACTTGTGTACAGACCCACACGTTTACAAGTGATGAGGAATTCTTGTTTACAGGAGTCTTGGCTACAGGGATCAGGTGTAATCTATCCCAGTACATAAGCTCTAATGATGTTAATCATGATTTACTTCTGGAAAGTATTTGTTTAATTACACTAACTGTATTATGCAAGCACTGCACCAGTAAAATTGTTTTTTAAAACTCTGCAACTGTAAAAGTTGAATTTTAAAGAAACCCATTCAGCCAAACTCTGCAACTCCTGCTGGCCTGCTGAAGGATCTTAACATTTTTCAGCTGGCTGTTAGGATCAACCCAAAACAAATGTCAAGATGGCTGGAACAGACACAGATGGATAATTACACATTTCACCCAGGATGTGGATTTGTGGAGATGTTATTTGGTCGTTTCTAACCCCTAGTGCAAAACCAAAAAAGCATCCCTCTGAGGATCTGTTTTTCTCCCTTCCCTGTTGCTGGTTGAAGGCTGGGTTACAGCACCTCTGTTCTCCTGCTCTTTCAGAGCAATGGAACTGAGTCCAGATGAGTCTGACAGACATGGCTGCAGGAGATGAGGAACGTGCAGGTGGTGGCAGGGCAGGGATTTCGAGCAAAGAGCAGAACTGAACTTCCCAGCGACACAAAGGAGAGGGCTTTGCCAGGCAGCCCCTGAGCAATTTCCCCAGGCACAGGGCTCAGGACAGCTGTGCTCCAGAGCGGCTGCAGCTGTGGGAGCACACACCAGTCCCCGGGTGGGGGGGGAGACCCCAGCAGGACACACCTGGGCTTTGTGACACCAGCCTCTTGCAGGGTTTATCTTAAGAGATTCTTTTAACAGACAGTTTTCTTTACAAAACATTTATTTTTAGCTCTCAGAAGACTTCTAGTTAACAAAATGCTTCCCTGTGCTTCAGCATTCAATTAAAGAAATTAACAACTTCCTTAATTTGTTGAGATAATGATCAGTTCAGGGGCAAGTCTCACAAACCTGAGGCTCTGGCTTGTACTGTGGTGGAGAAATGGTTAATGAATAAAGCCTGATTTTTTTTCTTTAAGATCTACTTAAAAATAGTTTACTCACATCATGATCAATTGGTACAAACTAGAACAAATTTTCAGCAGTAAGAGAATTGGTCTCTAGCATCTTAAAACTACAGCCATTGATACTTATTTTATGATTACTTTTTTCCCTTTAGTATGAGTTTAAGACAATTCAGGTGTTAGTCCTGTGAGATGCTTGCTTCCCATTTGTAAAAGGCCGGTTACTTTTTTCCCCAGCAGGATTATTAAACTTGTTGGAAGGTAAAACCTCTTCACCTGGTATAACTGCTTCTCCTACCTAAAAGGAAAAATGCAGCAAGGTGCACAAAAGGTGTAACTAACATTAACAAAAGAATTACTATTTTTTTTCTCATCAGAAGGGTGGGTCTGGAGGCCAAAGTGCCCATCCCAGACTAACAGACCCCACTGTATGTATCCTCAGCTGCGCGGGTGCTTTGGTACTAAAGGTGCCAACCCAGCGTTCAGTGACTCCTCAGCAGCCATCCTGCTCCTGGGCTCCCTGTTGTGCAAGCACCAGAGGGACCTGTTTCCCTGACCACGCACTGCTGATGTCCCTTGAAATTAGGTAGAAGTTCAAATCCCATTCTTCAACTGGAATTTAAAGAACCTTTTCCTTGTTTGACGTCATTGCCCTGCCTGCACATATGACATGTACCAAAAGCAGCCAGCAGAGTTAGTTTCACAGGTGGGAGAACTAGTTTTTTGTTCTAGTAATAATCTTAAATTATACTTTTAAACAGAGTAAGTACTAAAACTAACAACTCACAGCAGTAACTAGTTTTTGTCCCAAACAATTTCTAACCTTTATATCATTGGAATAAATATTGTTCAAAACTGTATCACTAATTTTTGTTTTCTGCCTTTGTGAACTTAAATTACCACCCACCTGCCTCGTCGTCACTGCTTTAAAAAGGGGTATTATCTTCCAATTTGTTTGACCCTTTTCAAAAAGACTTGTGTCACAGACAGAAACTGTGTGACTGCAAACAAAACTGCAATTCTGCAAGTTCAGGCTGTCACATCAAAACTGCAGGGCAGCTCTAGAGCAGCAGGGCAGCGTGCAGGAGCAAGCAGCCAGAACCTGACCTCTTTACTGAAGATGCAGTAGCTTTTCTTGGCTACTAATAACAACTCCAATCCTTCCTCCTGCATAAACTGGCACAGCAGGAGCTCCGGCCTCACGGATCCAAGCAGAAGCTCCTGCCTTGTTGCTGCCAGCCAGTTACTCTGGTTTGGTGAGGTTGCTTTTTTTTTGTTGCTAAATCCTGCAAGCTTTAGTTAAGCAGCAGTATTTTCAAATGATAGATCTTGCTTTGTTGTCACCTTCCCTTTCCTCTTTTCCAGACCAGGACAGGAGTACTGACTGCAGCTCCCACTGTGCTATGTTAATAGTCAGTGTTCAGTCGGGCACAAGCACAAAGGATCCAGGTTCACTGCAATCTGTTTTACCACCAATGCAGAAATAAAGCAATTTATTTTTGATAAAATTGTCATTAGTGCAATACATCTTAAAACAGAAGAATGAAAGTATTTACACATAACTTAAGCAACAAAGCCAACTGTGGTCTGAGGTCATTTTAGTAATTTTTTTAAAAGTAAAAATAAGGCAAATAAAAACCCCTTCACTTCAGTGCTCCTTACCCAAACTACTCAAACTAACATTAACGATTGTCTACACATAGACAAGCTCAGACATTTCACAGCAGAAAAAAAACCCAACCCAGAGTTACAGAAGAGTTCCTTTTCTTAAGTAACACGTAGGTATTTTCAGAAGGCTGACAGACTTCCATTCCTCCTGGCTGAGAGACTCTCAGTGGACTGTATTTCACTCAGGCAGGGAGAAGTCTCCTCATCATGATTAAAGCAGTCGTACGTGCTCAGCAAAGTACCGTTGGCCGCTCTGTCATCCTTCCGCAAGGAGAGGGGCAGATTTGCTAGGGTAAAATTAACATCTTTGAAGGCATGCAATAAAAAGATCCCCACAATAATAGTCAGGAAGCCACTGAAGGTGCCAATTATGTCATCAGCCGCCATGTGTTGCCATTCCTTGAAGAGGATGGCAGAGCAAGTCAGAACAGATGTTGTGAAGATTACGTAGTATATCGGCGTCACTATCGATGTGTTGAATATATCCAGAGCCCTGTTTAAGTAGTTGATCTGCGTGCTCACACAGACAATAAGGCTTAGCAGCAGAATCCAAGACAAGGGATGTTTCAGCACTGGTTTTCCTGCAAAAAGTTCCTTTATAGCGATGCCCAAGCCTTTTACACAGGAGACTGATAATGCTCCGATTACAGAGCAAATAGTTATGTACACGAGAATGTTGGTCTGTCCATGGCGAGGTCCCACCACAAATATTAGAATTAAAGACACGATGACGACAAGAGTTGCAAAGACCACAAAACCTGGCGGGGGGGGGGGGGGGGAAAAAAAAGGAGGGTAGAAAAAAAAAGATCTTGTTATTTATGTACACCATCAAAAGCATCTCAGAGGCATGGAGGAGACACTCATTGACACTGTGATCGGCTCAGCTTAAGTAGCAGAGTTCAGGATGTTTCTCATTAATCCTCCAATATCAAGGTGAAAACTACTGTAGAGTGAGCTGCCTAAACAAGGGCTGAAACTGAGGCATGTTGTAATACCTTTACCAGTCCATCAGCAAGATGACGACAGGATTAGGTGTCTCTACTGCCTTACAGACTCACTGAGGTGCAGCTGCCACGAGTCACAGGCTTGTGTCCGACTGCGTTTTAGGGAGGTACATTTTTGGCAGGCTGCTACGGTCATCAGCAGATTCCCAACAATCAGGTCATTCCTTAAGATCAGCTTTTTCATCTCTGTTCTGACTATAGCCTTGTGTTTAAAAATGGATTTGTCTTTGCATACATAGCATGTTAAAGCTTTTGTGTGTTTGTCAGTGCTTATGTCTTCCACATAAGCACAGGAGCTAGTCGCCAGGGTTGCGCTTCTTAGACACTGACCACAGCACCTACTTTTTTCCAAAGTTGAGCTTAGAGACTGACATATTTCAATTAAAACTGTAATTGCAGCAACTGTGTTTATCCAGCTGTGCTGCTCCATTTGTTGGAACTGTCATCTCTGTGGTTCACATGAAGACACTTTTTTCAAGGCCAGACAAGCTCACTGGCACCATGCAAAGCTCCCCACGGCATGACGTCACAGAACCCAAACCTCTGCTGCATTCTCACAACATGCAGCAGACACAGGCTATTAGCCTGGAACTTGAAAGCAGCAATAATTTAATTAAACTACAGTAAAGAAATGATGGGCTCCACATGTATCAAGCTAGCATTTTTCTTACCTGGATCACCTAGTTTGTGGGACATTTCGTTCAAAGTTTCTACTTCCTCCTCTTGTGGAGCGTGAATTACCATCACAGTTGATCCCAGTATACTTAGCAAACACCCTATTTTTCCGTGTAGATTAAGTTTCTCATTTAAAAAGAAGGATGACAGAATGGCACTAGGAAAAAAAAAAAAAAGAAGCATCAGTATCACCTCATTCATTTGCTCATCAACTTACAGGTTGCTTTGACTGTACTGACCACTAGCATACACAAAGTGCAGCTGAAGAACAGTGACACAGCTGATCTTCTATCTCAAGAGACTTGCAGTGGACAGAACTACCTGTTAATATTTAGCATATCTCCCCAAACCCTTTTTTATGCTGCCTCCCAAAAACCTCTATATCTAAGCGCTTATAGAAATATTTTTTAAAAGACCAAAGTCTTTACTGAGGAATGAGAATACAGCACGGTTTTGAAGTGCAGAAGAAGAGATTTTCACAGCTGGAGGTGTAGATGCATTGCTAGAACCCTTTCCTAGCATAATCCCTGCACATCTGCAGAAACTTAAAAGTTACTCCTGATGTTTATAAGCCCTCTTTCTTTATTGTTAAGAACAAACCACATTTATTACAGCGCATTTCAGTGACGCATTTCTAAATAAGTCTTTTACTTCTCCCTCTGAAATCACACTGCCTTCTGTTAGGGTTTCTTACCTTACAAGAACACTGAGAGCTCCTAAAGGAGTCACTAATGTAGCTGGTGCAAAAGCATAGGCAGCAAAGTTAGCTACTTCGCCAGCTCCCACTGCAGAGTAAGAAGTGAAAACCAAGGCGTTAGGGTCTCTTACACAACAAACCTGTGAGTCAGTGCAAGGGTTCTTGTAGACACAAATATGGAGTAGGGGAACAATGGAAAATTCTAATTAGAGCACTCAGGCAACAGTACTAGCAGAACAGCCCCCACCCTGCTCCCCACTATTGTAATTTAAAAACAGGCTGGGGCACTACAACAGGTGTTAAGATTAATTCAGCTAAATTGGAAGCTGTTTTATTTTGATGTCTCGGTTGTAGCTCCTTAACCTGCCAACCTGACTCATGAACTTCTGCATGGAGAACTCTACAACAGCAGGACACAGGGCAATGCACAGATTAAGCCACAGTTACTCAAACACAGCCACTAAGTCCAGAGTTTAAGCAATAAAAAAAAGTGCAGAAAATGGACTTCATACCAGATGTGCTTCCCTCTAAAGTCCTGTACCATCTAAGCCCTTCCCTGGTAAGACAAAAACTGGAATCTGTCTGCTAGTGCAGCTGATACAGAAAGACCAATGTCTGCCTAGTTCCACTGCCCAAAGAGAGCAGTTAAATTGATGAAAGAACTTCAAGTGTGAGAGAAGTAATGTTAAAATCACTAGAGCTGCACCCATCAAATCACCAGGCAGCATCACCAAACACTGTAGAATCCCCATCTCACTCTTTCGTAACCACTGCTGCTATCTGTGGCCTTGTTATTACTTAAATTATAGAATGCAAATTGTATTTTTGATACTTACTTGAAAGAAGTCCAGCCCACCACAGCCACTCCTTAAGGTATGCATGCCCACCTTGACCTAAAATGGAAAGCATGTTTGCTACCCCACTGCAAACACATCATTAAACAGTAGGCCCTGTCACTGATAACATTGCCACCATGGAAAGTCATTTTTGCAGCCCATGTCCTTACAACAAATTCAAATTGGGGTTGAAATCAAAGCATCTTCAGTTTCTGATGTGCGTATGCCTCCTACAGCCTACTTTGAACACTAGTAATTTTCTTTCTTTTGTGTTCAGAATAGCACTGATAATCATAGGTGCCATGCCCTGAAGAACAGTTCTTTTCAACACACTGCAATGCCATGAAGAGCCAAGCCAAGGGTCTCTTGCAAGAGTGCTCCTTTTACGGCAGCCCGGCAGGGCTCTCGTGGCCGACGCAGCGTGTGACACAGTCACGCTCCCCAGCCAAGCCAGGGAGCACCACTGACAGCTTACAGCACCAACCACCCTTCAGGGGCAGAGATGACAGGTACTGAATTCACAATACCCATTCAGCCTTCCAAATTATCTGAGGATGCTGCAAGCACCCTATCTAAAACTACCCTCCACCAGTTTAAAATCCATGCCCCTTGTCCTGTCACTAGAGGCCCTGGTAAAAATCTCTCCATCTTTCTTCTAACCCCCCTTTACGTAAAGCCACTCCAGGTCCCCCCAGAGCCCTTTCTTCCCCAGGCCGAGCAACCCAAATCCCCTCAGCCTGTCCTCATAGTGGAGGTGCTCCAGTGCTGATCATCTTCACTGCCCTCCTCTGTACCCACTCCAACAGGTCCATGTCCTTGTGCTGAGGAGTCCAGAGCTGGACACAGTACTCCAGGTGGGGTCTCACCACCTCCCTCAGCCTGCTGGCCACATTCCTTTGGATGCAGCCCAGGATGGAACTGGCTTTCTGAGCTGTGAGCCCATACTGCTGGCTCATGTCCAGCTTCTCATCTGCCAGTACCCCCAAGTCTTTCCCCACAGCTTTGCTCTCAACTTGTTCATCCCCCAGCCTGTACCGATACTGGGGATCACCCCAACACAGATGCAGGGCCTTCCACTTGGCCTTCTTGAACCTCATGAGGTTTACATGGGCCCAGCTCTAAAGCCTGTCAAGGTCCTTCTGGATGGCATCCCAACCCTGTAGTGCAGCAACCACACCGAGTACTCAGCTTGGTGTCCTCCACAGACCTGCTGACTCAGGCACTGTCTGTATCACTGATGAAGACATTAAATCGTATTGCTTCTAGTACGAACCTTAGGGGACACTCTTTGCTACACCTGACTATTGCATGTGAGTTTTAGTTCCTAAATCAGTCTCCTAACACTTGAGCACAGTTAACATCCTCCTAAATTCATGCATTCAGGAGCACCAATGTAGTTAAGAGTGCTGCTTCAAAATTCAATTTTCAAGTACAATTTAAATTCAACAGACACATGAAGAAATCCTTCAACAAGTGTTCCCAGAGGGCATTACATGCAAATTAAATAGCATGCATCACACACAGAGTAAGGTGTATCTGACACCAGAGAAGAAACACATCACCTACATGTTTTAGGTTCCATGTACTTGTAACGAAATCAACACGAGATCATAAGTTCACTAATCTCGTGTTAAACAGTGAAAGGCAAACGCCAGCCCATTCCTTGGGCATGTCTTTACCTGCTCTCATCGAGCCTTTCCGAGCCAGCCGGAGGAGCCCTTTCTTCTTCAGGATGAAGCTTCCCCCGATGAAGATGCTGGAACTCATGGCCAACACCAGACCAATACAGAAGTCATACTTCCCACCAGTTTGGTTCATCTCGTAAACGGCCAAAGGCTGTCACACCGATCAACGAACAGCAGAACTTCTGTTACTCAGCACAAGATGATGCAACACTGAAACCTGAGCAAAATAAACACAACAGAATTGAACTGGTAGAAATACGTGTTGTACAGGGAAACTCTCAAAGGCTCCAGTGACTGGTTCTGCTGTGAATGGTCTCTGTTATGAGTTTTTAAAAAACAAACAAAAACAACCCTGGAAATCTTTGAAGCATGTGTAAGCTTGAAACATGGAGTAACAAATAAAAGTTCTCTGAGAAAAGTTAAGGAAAACTTAAATATGTGTGACTGATTTTTCCTTCCATTAAGCACACAGATCTATGCCCAGCACACCACATAACCAACAGTACTGGTCAAAACACTACTTACATTGAAATCAGTTTGTCAGAGAGTTTGAGAAGAGCCACGGCATTTCTTCCATACACACTCACTAGACAAATGAAAGAGAAGATCAGTGGGTGGTCAATCCTAATGTAATTTCACTGACACAAGCAAGCTTGAGATGTATGCACACAAATCTATCCTCTAAAAACCAGAGAAACCTGGAACAAGAAACAAGACATCTATTTGTTGATTTATTTTACACAGTTTCCTATATCTGTATGAAGCATCTTTTCAGCTTAGCTACAGTAACTATTAAAAAGTTTACAGCTTGCAAACTTTCACCTAGCCTGCTAAGACTACAAATGGAGTTGGGTAAGACCTTCAGTAACAGCTTAGCAGAAGATAGCAATTTTTAGGCTACAAATCAAGATTTTAGATATTCAACCTCCAGCTTGCAAAAAGAAAATATTTCTGTCAGTTCATCTTTCTTCTTGTTACAAGCTGCAATGAGGATATCCTGGATTCCATCTAACTCAGAAGATTCTGAATTTAAGGTATCTCTATGAATAATTTTTAAACAGAAGGAAAAAGAAGCACAACACACTTTCAAGGTGATTAACCTCTCTATAATATGAAGGGAAATGGATTTTTAGGCTTTGATTACAAGACAATTATGACAGCATAGAAAACTCTTCTACAGGAAGAAAACACCCATGGATAGAACTCTCTTTATTTCCTGGGAACACAAATCACAGGTGTGCCAAGACCATCATTTAGTTCCCTAAGCAATTATTTTCCAGATTCACAGAAGCTTGGCGTATGACCTAAGCTGCATTATGAACCGTTTGATCGAAATGTAGGAGGGAAAGAAAAGGATGGAATAAAACATTTCAGTGCTTCTTGGAAGCTGAATTCCACAGCTTTTATGCTGAGACCCAGCAGCAGCTTCCCCAGGCAGAGCACGAGGCTGGTGTGGAGGCGCTGCAGTACCAAACGCCCCCTCTGTGCGCGGGCCGGGCCGGAGGCACCCCCGCAGCCCAGCACTAGGGAAGATGACGCCTCAGGCGGCGGCGGCGGCGCCAGCGCCCATCCCTGCGCCTGTTTCTCCGGACCCTCCTCTCTCCCAGAGCTGCCTTTCCCTCTAGCGACTCGCTTCTGATGGTCTTTAATCTGCTATGCCCCTAGGAACAACCTCGCAGAGAGCTACAGGCAGGTTGTCGTGAAAACTGAACACAGACCCCCTGACTTGCACCCCGTTATGCCGTGGACAGGCATGGCAAAGGGTCCCCTTTAATAAGCACTCCACAGGGCACCTCTCAAAATGCTGCAAGGTCCAAAATACAGAATTCTCAAATCCTCTTCCCTTAATCCTTGCATAGTAATTTTTATTTTTTTTTTTTTTTCCATTTACAAAAGAAAATATTAAATGAACCACAAGGGTCTGCTTCCATTTTCTAGCAACTTTTAAAAACAAACTTCAGTAGATTACTGCAGAACTCAAAATCACCTATGAAACAAAACCTGAAAGACAAATCAGTGCAGAAGACAGACCAGAACAAGCCACCTAACTCACTACACCAAATATTTCTCTGGCTTTGAATTCAAAGTGTGACTTTCAGAGCCCTGAAGAATAAAGGCTTGCCCTTTTTTTTTTTTTTTTTTTTTTGTGTGTGTGCAAGGAACATACACCAAGAGACTTTGGTGGCTGTTCTTCCTGGCACCTTTTCTAGCAGTCCGAAGTCACACTGTTGAGGCAATCAAGCTGAGAGTGTTCTTCTAGCTCCAGCTGGCACAAAACATGATAGTGGGAGAGCATCACGGGCAGCAGGAGGGGGCTTCTGAGTTTTTCTACTCTACCAGAACTTTCAACCAGTTGCTACTTTAGTTACATTACTAATGGGAGTATTTTTACCAGTGTAGCTTTAACAAAAACAGAACTTGCCATACTGGAAAAACCACCTTTTCTTCCCCTCTCCCTCGCTTGCATAGCTCCATCTATATGAAAACATTTCTGACAGAGGTAAAGAGCACCAGCTGGTCCCATCCTGGTATCTTCTACCCAATGCATTTCAGAGACAAGGGAAGCAGCACAGGCTGCATTTCTTGGTAGCAGAGGAAGAGTTTGAGTAGAGGATGAATTTGATTGGAAAAGAAAGAGGAAAACTTGTGAGGTAATGGGTAGTTTTGAATTTAAACTCAAAAACACCCTAAGGATGCTGTACTTCAAAAGCAGCAGTTTACTCTGCCCCGTGTCCTAATTACACTAAAGAGTTTTTGATTCTCCATCAACCACTTTGTTAATCTTGTAAACGACTCAAATCTTAACCACTTCTTCACTTAAATTACCACTAGCTTCTCTTGCCAAGTTTATTTGCCCTGACAGACACGGCCAGTCCCATTTTGGCTTGGGCTGGACTGCCATACTTCCATCTCAGGTTTATACAGATATCTGCACGTGCTGACTGCTTCTGCTGCACAGTCACGGTGAACCCAACTTCTCTCTGAGGAGCTCTGGTTCACTGTGCATACAAAGTGCAGGTGGAACTTGCATGTGTAGAAGTGAAAGGTACAGCTGCAAAGTCAAAGCAATAGCAGGCACAGGGAGTTTTACTCTTCAGAAAATCAGTAGCTTTATTATAACCCAAAGATTTAGTAAATAAGAGAAACAAGTGTCTGCATAAAGATCATCAAGAAAAACTGCTGTCTTTGGAAATAAAAAAATGCCATGCAACAAGCAGTTTCTGAAACAAAAATCCTCTCACGTTTCAGCTTTGGGACACACCAAAGCTGTTCCCATCCAGCAGCCAGGGCAGCTACTAAGTTGTAAACAGGAGAAAAGCCAGAAAATGTAAGAATTAAACAGAGTTAAACAAAGCTGGCAGTGGTTTTAGTTATATTTGATGTAGTTCTGCAAAGGTTCTTTAATGAGGTTCATAGCTGGTTTTACCACAGAGAACATTCCATCCATCCAAGACAAGCAGTTTCATAGAGGAATATTAATTTGCTGCTCTGATTTCAGAGAGATAACGAGGAGATGAGGCTCTCCTATCCCCAGATGCTACGTGATTTACAATGCCTTGAGGAACCACCTGTTCATGAACTGCCTGTGGATCTTCTGGTACTGTAACTGCCAGTGTGCCACAGCGCAGTGGCACACAACACAAGGGAACACATGCTGAGTCTGAAGTCAGGGAGAGAGAGAAAAAGCTTTCTGAGAAAAAAACTGTGGGACACAAGCAAGTCCAGATTAGCCACAAAGTTTCTTTGCTTGTTTTTAAGACGTAACCAAGAAGTATCACAAATATTGTACAAGGTACAGGCTTCCTAAAACACAAGGAAACACTTTTTTGTCTCTTTGCTCAGAAGTCCTCTCCTCCCAAAAGCAGCCCACATGTAGCACTCAAAAGGTGTTCTATATTTATTGCAACAAACAAACTGTCTAAATATTCAAAAACATTAAAAATGGTGTTATGGGATGAAATACTCCTGTGCATGAAAACTCCTGCTGTGCAACTCTCTAGGTTCTTTCCCAGCAGTCCACAGGGATTTTTTTTTTTTTTTTCCACATGCAGTGCAACTCCCAAAGCCATATACACCATTTGGGCTGAGTTGTTACTACTGCTGCAACACTCAGCCTTCCCCTAGGTGGATTCCTTGGCCCCTCTTGAGCAGTCATCTACTGTTGACTCTTGAACTTCTCTATTAGTATAACCTCTATATTCTTTTCTACAGTACTATTGTTCTCTAAACTGTATTTGTACAGCAAATTATTCCTGCCTGGGGGCAATAACTTGCATTTACTCCTACAAAACATCTCTTTTTTGTCAGAAATGCGTCCTGAAAATATTTATCTGAGTTTACACAGCGGTGACCCTTCCCTGCTCAATACCATTACTTCTTTGTCCTTTCAGCCAGATCACCAACACGAAACAGCACAAGACTCAGACATGACTCACACAAAAGGATTTTTAAACAAAGGTTTGTTTTGTGAAGACACTGGTAGTAGTTACTCCAGGTACAGCCATTTGGAAACTTTTGAACAGTTCTGTGATATTTTTTTAATTCTGCTTATTTACAAGAGCTCCATGAGACATTCTATGTTTCCAACATTGACACAGAACCTATTTAATGCTCTCCTAACCATAAAGCTCTTCATGGAAGAAAAAGGGGTTGAATCAACAAGTTGATTTTAAAAAATACACACTGACTGTTATGTGTTCCATTCTTCCTTTCCACAGGCATAAAACCACAGGAAAATGAAACACTCCCCAACAACAAAAAAGCAAATGTTCAGTGATGAGCCTTTTGAAGGCTCAGTATACATACCAATCTTGTTCCAAAATCCAGAGGCATTTGCTTCTTAAATATGTCAATGTTAGTTTTCTAAAATATAAGTTAAAAAAAAAAATAATTAACATTAAGAATTCGCCTAAAAATACTGTCCATCATTTCAAGTCAATCTCTTTTTCGTGTAAGACACACAAGACCATACATTAGCTCATTGATGCTTTAAAAAGGGAGAAGACTTTTGTTTCAAAAAGGTGTGAATAACAGAGTAGTCTGAGTTCTAAATTTGATCTTCCTTAGCTATGTCTCACCTGAAGTATTACAGTTATACCATCCCTTTGGTCTCGCTTCATTTATCAAAGAAACTCACAGCCTAAGCTATTCTTTAGAAGTTGAATGCTGAGGTTGAACTAAGTCCTTTCGGTTTTGTCATGGAACTTAAGGGCTAAGACACTTTATTTAAAAAAAAAAAACAAAAAACACTAATACAAGGTTTTAATTACTAGCTGTGATACAGTGAGTTTTCAGAGGTTGTTCATATGCAGAGCTCCAGGGTGGTGGGGAGTATGAACACAGAAATGTTCTCAGTAAGATGAACTAAAATCATCAAAATATAATTAACTCTTTAGCCCACGTCTTTGTCCTCAGTTATGTTCTGTTCACTCATGAACATCTCTTTTAAACACAGGTACAGAAAGAGCACCGAAAGGACAGACATAACCCAGCACGAAGGAAAAAGAGCTGCTGGTTCAAAACTCAGTCACACACAACTTTAAAAGGCCAAGATGCATGGATACAGCACCCAAAGATTCTGATTATTTCGGAACGAGTACCCTCAATTTTGTGCTGTAAGTCTGCTCCAGCACAGAGAGTTTCCCAGCTTTGTCAAAGTTAAACGAGTGTGCAAACTTACACACACAAGTATTTACCAATTACACAGAAAAGGTAAAAAAACCCACCTGCTTATAAAGATAATGTTACATATATGCATATATAATACATTAGAGGCACAAGTACTTAGAAAGCAAAATATACCTTAAAGTTCTAAAGTTGCCTATTTCAAAAGTTCTAGTTAAACTGTGAGGAAACTTACACTTTACAGCAGATTTGTTTTAATAAAGCAAAAGCAACATGCATTCTTTTTTAAGAAACTGGGAGAAAACAATAAAAATGCCACATTAAAACTTTTGTACATCTTATTCTTTGTATTTGCCATTTGCAGTTATTACCTTCTATAAAAAGAATGACCTCCAATTGAAGCACTTTGACATAAAATGAAAAGACATCTTCATTAAAAGAGTGCTACTAATTAACTAAAGGTGAACTACAGACAGTACTTTACAGCTGATACCGTACTGACTGGTTTTCCTAGAAGTCTATCAAAAGAGACTCCAGATAAGAGCAGGACTTGCTTCATCTTTGCTGTACCTAGCACACCAGCTCCACTCTCAGCAGGATGAGTCACCAGCACAAGGTCCACTGAAGCTCTGCCTTCAGCATTCAAGACAGGCCATTTCAAAATTAATGTACTTCAGTAAGTTAAAGTTGAATCTAGACATTAGTCACTGTTTTTCCTTTGCCATGACTGACAATCTGTTATAACGTGCTTTCTGTTTTGCTGGGGTTTTATCCTGAGAATTTAATAATTTTAATGAAAGCAAAACTAGTGTGACACTGAATTCTCAACAGGATGCTGCTGAAAACTTACGCAAGAATTTCCTACCAACAAACCTGTTACCCTTTAGGAGGAAAAAACCTAACTGTATACAATAAGGCACACCAAAAGCATTCAGAAATAGCCACGGTGACTTACATTTATTGTGTTTTAATTAAAAATAATGTTAAAGATATTGCTGGAAAATGGAGAAAGTTAATGGGTTGAAAAAGAACAAGATGAGAAAAAAAACAAACAGGAACTAAACAGTCAGACCCAGCCTGTGTCTTCACAGTATGAGAACGAACAAAAATGATCATTCTGAACTATGACGCAAAATTAAGATCCTTGTTTTCCACCACAAACTAAAGCACTGCCAAGGCTCTGAGGTTCTGCTGAAGTGGATCTGGAACCAAGAAGCCCAACCCTCAACCTCGGCTAAACTTAATCTGGAACCAAACTGAAGACAAACTGTGTTTAGCTCCCTCACGAACTGCACTAGGAAGCGCAACAGCTCCGGTACCGCAACGTGCCAGTTCTGCCCAGCTACACAGCCTAACAAATACCTAGATCTATCTCGGCCTCTGGAGCCCAA